TTCCGCCAAATTTTATAAATGTAACTTACAAACAGACGTGGCCTTTGTAAAAGTATCTACTAATTAAAATAAGATGACTGGGTTTTACAATTAAATCCAACTTAAATTTTCTAGGCTCTGGCCAAAAACAAAAAGCTTTGAACAATCCAAACTTCGTGGTACTAATTATAATATCCAGTCATCGCGATATATTTCTTTCTTTAATTATTATGTTGAAGACTTTTAAAAAAATGTCTTCACAATAAAATAAATCTTAAAAAAATCATTTTTACAGGAATATGTTATTGTGATAGAGCTTAACAAAGCGTAAGTTTTCAATTTACACCCTAATTAAATTTAATTAAACGAAAAATAAAGTAATTCGTGATAAAAGATACATTTAACTTGCTGTTGAATTATATATTATTTCTATATTTTCTTTTTAAATCGAAAGAAGAACTTCGTTAAAGGAAATTCCTCCGGAAAGTTACCAGTGATATTTTACTGTAAATAAAATAATAGTTCATTCATTTGAAGAGTGTATTTTATACAAATACGGGTTGGAAAGTAAGATTATTTAAATAATATAGACCTACTCGAGTGTTACTTTTCGGATAGTATTTGCTAGCAGATAATATTATCCAATTAAGAAATCTTTCTTACAGTTGAGGATAAAAAATATGAAAATTGACAGGAAGAAGAATGCTAAATAATCAAAAAGTGTATCATTTCTACTTGTTATCTTCGGAAGGGGAAATAAAGATTCCTTCCTTTCGCCGTTCTAACCTATAAATTATAAAATTTAATGACGATAAAACAAATGAACGAAGACAAAAAAGGTACTAAAGTAAAAATTGACGATATTTTTGATTTTTTTTTTATTAAAGAATCGCAGCGAAGGGCCCATAAATCGTGTCAATTATTTTAACGGTTTCGGACAGAAAATTTATATCATTTATCGGATTGCGGTCCTTTTTTAATGTTAAAGAATAATCAACAGGATATGCAGATACAATATAATATAAATTACTCTAAACGGGAGTCCATCGAATAATATTACTTAGGCTAAATTGCCCATTGCGATCAACAATACACAGATACAGATTGTTAAATACTGTACACCAGAAAATTCATTAGAGCGAGTGAAAGCGAAGAATTTAGGATTCTATCGTAAAAACCTGTTACGTGTTTTACAAAGTTTTTGGATAGACTGAGACAATAGATTAAGAATAGCAGAATATTCCGATATTTTCCAATAGGATTTTACGTTTAGAAGTCCGAGAGAAAACTTTTAAAGCGGAGTTAAACGTAATTATGCATTATTAAACGTATCGAAGTGTCACATAAATTAAATTAATAGGCAAAATATTTGTCGTATTATCGTCTTTAAAAGAGTAACTATCGCAATAAATTACAGAATTTGGTCATATTTTTAGCGTGTCAGAAGCTAAATTAGACATTTTCAGAGAAAGATTTTGTAGTTTTGTCTCTCTTTTTCTGTCATTAACGAGATTCTTTAGTATATTTTATCCATTATTCTCGAAGAGAAGAAATATTCTAGTTGTGTCTATAATTTACAATTTGTAATTATTTGTATGAAACGAAAGTTGAAAATGATTAACGTCGACAAAAATATAATTTGTTTCTCATCGATAAAAACATCAAAAAATCGAATGTTTATCGATTTCGATTTACTTTTTATCTAAAAATAAATTTAAATCGGACGTCAACAAATATCTAATCAGTTTAAATTCGAAAAACCGAAAGAAAAAAAAATCAAATAAAATATAAAAATTTGTTTACATGCTTTGAAAATGGAATTATTTTAAAATTGACTTCATTTATTAATTAACGCGCTGACACATTTTTAAACCGTCGTTTTTAATTTCCTAATAAATTTCGTCGGCGTAAACGAAAACGTGATTTTTTTTGAGATTTTTATCTTTTAAATCAACGAGCTATAAACTGAAGTTATTAATTTTATTATACCTGATGGAGATAATAGAATAAAGGCAGTATTAATAATTTTATCATTTCTCGCCAATCTTCTGATTAATTTCCGGAAACGAATCCATTTAATCTCCGGATACTTAATATTTCCCACTTACTTTATTATCCCGGCAACGGAATGTGAACTTTCGTGATTTTCCATTTAGGAAATAATAAAGCTTCCATTTTAGTAAATAAATATGTTTTTGGTGTTTCTTAATTGCCTGGAGCATTTCTCTTTTTCGAATCGATGCCGAGTGCAAAGTGGATGATGTCAGAGTCGTCGGTGAAAAAAATAAAAAAATACTTACTAGTGTTTACCGTTTTATCATCTCATAAATATCTACAGCGGGTGAATCATGTAATCTATATCGAAATCAAATTACTATCGACTCTACCCTATTCAACATACGTGAACTTTCTACTTTTCTTTCCTTTTTCGCATACGGCCTTGTGAAAATAGAAAAACTGAAATATATATTTCCTTTATGGACGAAATAAATAAACGTAGATCTATTCGATTCGAATTTGTTAGAACGAAGCGAACGGGATGTATCAAATTAAGTAAGGAAGAGTAATCGAGAATTATCGATTCTCGGAACCTTTTCGAAAATTTCGGGAATGGATTCGACGTACCCGAAACTTTAAGCTTCGGTAACTTTTTATAACAATTATAGACTATATAATCGATACATCTAAAGTGACATTTCGGTCCAAAACTGTGAAAAATGTAACGTGGAAATGTCGACTATTTGGCGCGATTCAAATTTTACAGATGGTTGTATCGGAAACGGATATCAAACGTTTCTATCGAGTAATTCGTTCCGGTAGGAAGCGTGGTAAGCCTACTAATTAATTCGACAGCTAACACGACCCGCCTCCCTTTCTGCAACGACGTTTCGCCATACGCCATTAATCCGGGCTAAATGATAAGAGCATTTAACAATGACATTTTCTTTGTTCCGCTACAGATTTGGTATTGTTTCCAGCGCCCGTTACCTTATTTATATCAAAAGAAGCTGTCTAACGTCTGAAGAAAAACGAAGAAACTATCGGAGTAATCCTCCAGCAAACAAAGTGGAGACCGCCCGATAACCTCGACCGACATAACGACGATGAAAAAACTTAGATAGACCGGAAAACGATCGATAGGATTAAGAGTTATTTTCTTTTATCCTTTTAAATCCCGTAATTAACGAAGGATAGTTAGAAATAAATCGGGTTGGACCTCCCGAGTCACTTCCGGTTTGCGCCCTCCAATCTCCTCCGGCAGCCGTCACCCCGGACGAACTTAATTGGAAGAGCGAGACCACCACTTAAACTCGGACAATTTCCATTTAAGCCGCTGTCGAAGTCGTAGATTCTCGAATTAACCGCATATTCGTAACCAAATTATTCGTTAATTATAGAATTTGCATCCAGTTTCCGTAAACAACGTTTTCTCTCGGGTTTGCTTTACGGAAGCACTTAAAATAGAAACTGTTTGTCTAGAGAAAGGCAAGATTTTCCATCGATTATAAGAGGAAACCAGAGAAGGAGGACAAACCATCGAAGTAACGGATACGTCGGTTTTATTTGTCGTAAATTATTGTCACCGTCGTCCGTCCTCGGGTTTCCAATTAACGACGGACGAGGTTAAACATTTCCCTTTTGTAAAATAAATGCCGTTTAATTATTTTCGAGATAAAATATATTTATAGTGATTTGCTTAAAGGATGTTTTCTATATATATTAAAGACGTGTTGACCGACACGTCTCACCCAATCGAGCGATGGCTCGGGGCACGAAATCGCCGGCCACTTCAAGCTCGGTGACACTTTCTTCATATAAAGTACGATTCGTCCTTCTCTAAAGATGCCGTAAACTATATATTTTAGTAAACAACAACAGATTTTAAAATCGAATTTCTTCTTCAAATATTAAAGTAACCTCGATTCGGATGTCCGTTTCTTTGGCTTCCACTTAAATTCCCCAAGAAATTTATATGGAAAACAATTTTTTAATTAAACTTTGGTACAGATGAACCGGGTATAAACATTATACGAGGCCTACTCTAACGTCTGAAATTAAACCTGCTTCTTACACGTGTTTAGCAAAAATATTTCAAACCGACACAACAGAAGATATTTTCGAGTTTAAGTGTTTGTCTCGGCGTACAAACAACCCTCGAATTGAGGGGAAAATATAGGATATTAACCAAGTAAATCGATACGTTGGATGGAAAAGTACTTCCGCATTTAACGAGAGAAGTCGGAGTCTCCCGTCGACGACGAATTGATAACTTATTTCGTTTCCAAGAGTTTCTCTCGGAGGAGAATCGCACTTCCCACCGGTTGCATTATTAAACGGGAGACTTTATTTATCGTTCACGTAATGCGAGACTTTATTAATAATTCGTACCCAATGCTAACTGTGTCAAAGTTCGTCTCGCCACCACTTTTCCACACGTTCTTAAGCACGTCGGTCGTCGTCTTCCCCTTTCGAGACTTCCGCGTCGTCTTTCGTCGATTAATTAAAATTAACGTGATTGTTTCCGCCGCGTGTTCGGTTGCACTTTTATTAATATTTAAGTATGTAACGGCGCTTTGAATACGGTTAATCGCGATTAAACCGAAAAGGGTATTAAAATATACGGATGCTTGCCGAGAAATGCGTCGCGACGATATGAAAAGACAAGTTAAAATTGTTAAATAAAGTATTTTTGTTTACTGAAATTTCCACTAATATAATGAATTGAGAGCAGCATTTTACTAATCTATTTCACTTCCGAAATGTTTTCTTATGACGTCCGAATACTCAGCATCTAGTTACTCGCTCCTTATTGTTGACTTATATTAAGAATGACATTTTATATAAAGGAGAAAAAAAAAACAATTTTCCATTAAGTTTGCGAAATAATTTGAATGAGGAATAAAGACGACGAAGACGACGTCATCCGGACTCACCCGGAAGTGAAATGGACTATTTCCCGGCTATAATAGGAGAGCGACCTTCGCTCGGTCGTCTGTCGAATCCGACGGAAGCGCGTTCGATACTCCTCCGCGCGCTCCTTCCAAGGCGATGAGAAGAGGAGAGAAGAAGAGGTCCCGCTGACCCCGACATGTCCAAGTCGCCGCAATACAACCACCGACACAGATCGGCCTCCATCCCGGTCACTCCCGAGACCAACTGTAAGCCCTTCAACGCTCGATCGCGGCTCCCCAACGGAGGTTACCTGTCTCTACCCAAGACCTACCCACCTTTAGAAACCGTGCCCAGGTGCGCCCCCGAACAGATGCCGACGGAAGCGCACCCCAACCAATTCAAACCGAGAAACGGAGAGGCCGAAGATCTGTCCAGAAGATTCTCCGAAAACCTGACGGTGGAGGGTTCCAGTAGGAGGAGAAGGGGCCCGGTGGGTAGCCCTCGTCACTGCCGATCTCTGTCCTTCAGAGCCATGAAGCGCCCCACTCAGCAACAGGTTCAAGACGACTTCCGGCCGCGCGTGTCCACCATGCCTTCCGACACCACTTCTTATCTCAGGCGCCGCAGAAGGGCCTTCGACTGTGCGCGAGAGTGCCAAACCAGACCCGCGGGCCTGTCCTTAGATTTGGAGTTCGACGAACCGGTAGAAGACGAGTATTACCTTCTGCGAAGCTTCAGCATCACTTCCAAAGGCATCGTCAATCGAGGCGATCTGGTCAGACAGAGAAGCAGAAGTAATAACAGCGTTGCCTCCACCGCCTCCAGTTTGACCGGAGGAGCGTCTAGCGCCACTTCTTGCTCTTCCGGGCGCCAAAGTAATCATAACTGTAAAGTACTAATACTGGGCAAATGCGAAGTGGGCAAGACGTCGTTGATGACTCAGTTTATGACCTCCGAGTACATGAACGCTTACGACGCGCCGCAAGGTAAGTTCCCTCCCGTCTTTTTCTTTCGTTTTGCCGTTTCGCGAGAACCACTCCGCGCCAAACGATAACCTCATTCCTCACTTTTACCTCACCGGTGTTTTTCCCAGGAATTTATCGCCGTTTCGCCTTTTAAAATTGAGGATTTCTGCTAAATAAATAGAAAATAATTTTCATTTCGTCGATAAATTCTGTGCCGGTCGAAAACGTAAACACGGCTAATGACGTCGAATACGTTTAATAATTCCGAGAAATCACCCGAGGCGGCAGAGAACGAAGGCGATGGGGTTTCAAAAAGGTTAAAGTAACGAAATTTCATTTGTTTTTTATCTTTCCTTTAACAAAATAATTCGATTTAACGGCTGCATTAACTATACAAACTTTAATTTAATTAACGCTTCGAGTTATCCCGGTCGTTCTTCCGGAATAATTATTTCTGTCGTCGTCCGAATTAAGAGTTTGAAGAGTCCTCCTGCTCGGCAAACGACGTCGAAGTACACTTATACATCTCGATAAATACGCCTTTCTAATCTGGAGGAAGGCCCAAGCGATAGTTTAAGTTTAATCGACCGCCGTCACGGATATTAAACGTTTCAATTAACATTCCACTTGTAAGCCTTCTCGGACTTCTCTTTCTGGAAGATGCGTTGCTATGGGAACTCGATCGGAGGTAACGAACGGGGGACGTCACGTAGCAGAACGTTCCTATTCGATATTATCCGTCTTTAAACTTTACCATTAGCCGTAAAAGTTAAGTTTGCTTCTATTCTACTTATATTATCGTTTTTCGATTTTTCCTTCATTCCGTACACATTTACGTTAGGAAAACTTTAAAGAGAAAAATGAATCTACCGTATTAGTCCGCGCCGAATAATTTACGTATGTAAGAAAATAAGAACTTTAACGTTCTACCAGCGTCGAACCGAATATCTACTTGTAAGAGTTTACTAAAGAAATCCTACAAGTGTTAAAATTTCCCCTTGGAGTAGTGACAGTAAGTGACAAAGATAAATGTCTGAATGGGATTTTTCGCCGACAGCAGGCAGAAAATACAAAAACGGAGATTTTATTTAGTGTATGGAATTATCAAAGGAAATGGAATCGGAAAGCAGTGTCAATATATAGCGTTTTCGGTTTCTACCGCTAATATTCTTACCGTGCCGGCTTTGCGTACGTTTTGCACACCCGATTTAAAGAATTGGTGTTATAATTAATAATTAACTTGACTTTTTAAACGCACACCTTCGTATGTTCGACATAAAAGACCGTCGTCGTTTTATTTTCCGACGCCGATTTTACAGGCTTACAACTTTTCTATAAAGCAGCTAATCATAAGAAATAACAAAAATTACAAAGCGTACGAAGACTCGTGGGTGTTTTAGTTCGAAGAAAGGACAAAGAGTCATGGTTTGGAATACACAATAATCGTTCAAATCTAACCGAAATTCTTTGGCGAAGAATACAAACGAAATTAAAGACGTTGTAACTCAAAATCATTAACTCGATTCCGAGTGTTTTCTAACTGCAAAGGAAAGACGGGCAAAGGGGGAATATAAGTAAGAATCGAATGCGATGTAGAATTGGCAAGTACTGTACAAAAAGGAGAGTGACTCCGATTAAATTTGTGGTTTTGCAAATATCCACTCTTTCCAAAGTTTTTTTTTTTTGGAAAATTCCGCCATCATTCTCTCGTTTTCTACTCTTGTCGACGTCTTTTAATCTCGAACGAAGTTAAAAAATAATTTTTCGAAGTTAATCCCGGAAATGCTCTTCCTTTCATCCACCGTCCGAGGGAAGAAGCAGCGCTTTACCGAGAGGAAGAACGTTTTTTTGCGGGGCAAACAACGTTTCCGGATTAATTTTTGTTCGGTAAATATTTACCGAGAAGCGGTAAGAGGAAGCGACTTTTTCCATTTCTCCTTCGTTGGCTCGCTCTCTCCAAAACCATCGACGCGAAGCTCGTCGACCCTAACTCCTCCCCATCCATCATTTATAAAGGGCGATAAAAAGTGGATAGCTTCTGTCATCTTTTTAAAAAAAGACGATTTTACCTCTTTAGTAAACTAAAGCTAAGTGTTCTTTTTTAATGGAACCACAATTAAAGCCTTGGAAATGTTCTTCCGAAGATTGGCTTTTTTTTCATGGCGCGTGTTCTCCGTCCATCTCCGATAACGAAAGGCGGAAATCCTGGTTCCACGCGCCCCCCGGTTCCGGTTAAGTGGGATCTTCGAACGTGTTCTGTTAAGAGCGTGGAAACTTTCTTCTTCCGCTTCCTTCATAGTTTTGTTTTTTTTCTCCTCGTCCATTTATCCTGGCTTAATCCTCGCACGTCGTAACTACGAGCGGAAGAGCCACCGCGTCTTTCTCCCATTTTTTAAACAGAGTTTAACTGGTAGGAGCATTTATAACAAAACGGTGCGGTCCTTATTTTTAGAATAACACTCTCTAATTTACCCGGCCGCTACTTGTCGTAAAAACAAAAAATTCCCATCGTTTTTCTTTCCTAATTGTTAGACAGCAAACCCCGAAGTAACGTCATTGTAAATCGTTCTATCCGTAACAAGATAAGAACCGCGAGTCTTATCTTTCTATCGATAATATTCGGTAATCGAGAAAGATGCCAGATTGCGAGTTCCCCGAAAAATATAGGAGGAGAAAGACGATAATATTTTAAATGAAAGACAAGGCGAAATAAATAGGTGTACGGCGTTACTGCTCCGCCCGTTTCGTATCGTATGGCCCATCTCTGTTAAAATGTGTTAGGGTTTTATCTCTGGCGGAGGATCGAGTGTCTTCTTAAATGCCTTTGTATTTAGTCTGCGCCATCCGAGCGCGAAAAGATAGACTCGGCCCGGCTTAGCGTTGCCTGGCACTTAACGAGTCAGATAATGGACGATTAAATCTTCTCGTTAATTCCCAGAAGATAACGATAAACCGATATTTAATATTTTCTCGACTCTCTCGTAAAACGTGAAAACGCCAATTCGTAATCGCGGTGCGTAAACCATTCATTTTGGATAATAGAAAAATGTAAATAGAAAGCCAACGGATTCGATTGTTTCTTGCTGGATAACGAAGACGATACAGAAATTGTGTCGAGCTTCATCCGTCCCGAGTAAGGAGGATTGACGAAATCTTTTCCATATAATTAAGAATTTTACCAATAATCGTATGACCGAATATGAAAATCTTAACGTGTTATTTTTCATTTTTTAAAGTAATTTAATAAGTTTTGCAACCTCCAAAATCATATTAATAAAGCTGTGTAAGATATAGGCCTATATTAAAAATTACCTTTGAATTACGTAGAAATTTTTACAAATAGAAAAAATTTATTAAAGTTTGCTGGAAACTGCATACAACAACAACAAAGAAAAACGCCTTTGAATTGAGTTTGGTCAATACTCCGATCACTTAATCTGATTCTTATTTTAGTAATGAAAAGCCTTGCTACCGAGAATGCCCTTTCCGATTCAATCGATGTGAGTGGAATCGTGTTTAATGCATTTAAGAGAAGACAGATGTTATGTGTTTTTTCACCTGTAGCCTGGAAGATTTCTAGTTTGTTTTCGAGATTGCAGTACTTCTTTTGCTCTCTAGTATTCTTGATTTGTCTACCTCGGCTGCTTTAATAGCGGCATCAAGGTTATAGCTCGATAATTTGGCAATTCGTTTGGCTTTAATAATCAGGTTTATGAAGAAAAATTTCATACTTGCAGGCTTCCTGCTCGTTTGTATTTTTGCACAACTTGACGTTACGCAGTTATTGAAGCTACTGGGCATGGTTAAAAATTAAGACAGCGTAAGCACAATTATTCCAGATATTACAGGTTCTGACAAGTAAAGAATTTTCAGAGTCCTGCCACAAATAAGTTACGTATTGATTATTGACCATTTGTGATGTGCCGTAACGAGCAAACATTTTAAAAACTGATAAGTACGTAAATACAAATGTATTCTGGCAGTTTATGAGTTAATATTTTATTTTTTTTTTTATTTCTCAAAAAGACACTGTGGCTAGGTTGGCCTTTTACAAGCATCTTAAAGCAAAAATCAACAAAACCAACAAAAAAGAATAAGTAAAACAAAAACAGGACTCTAGCTGAGAAAGAAAATTATATTCTAACTCAAGTCCAAAAATTAATTGAGAAAAAATATCACTGTGGCTTAAAGTTTTTTCTTCTTTTTACATTCTTTTTGAAGATTTTAGCCTATAACTTGATATGTTACGTAAATCGTTGCACAGACTATTCCAATAGAAGATTAATTGAAAGATCTGTGCAGATCTTCCCACATCTAGTTTAACAATTGGGAGACTATATCCACGAATTATACTAGTATCTCGTGTTGATCTGCGACATTCTACTATACCAATTCCGAGGAAACTGTTTTCCTTTTTACTCTTTATATATTTGAAACCCTCCAATAGAATCTGTTTCTTGTAATTTTCACTAATCTTGTCAATATTATCGGTGCGGTAGAGTTTAGATACTGATTCCATAAAATTATACTTTCTATTTGCAAAATTTCTTCAACCTTAATACAAAATAAGAAAATAGTGAACTTTTAAGAAATTTCCCGGGATATTTTCCGGCTTAAAAAAACAATCGGGATCCCGTTTGAGAAACCCTAGTGTTTATATAAGATGTAATATCTCTGACCTCTTTAAATTTGGAAAGCGCTTCTCGTAGAAACTTCGGATGGACGTAACAGTTTACCCAAATGAAATCGAAGAATGGTACTGTACTTTTCCATTTATAATTTCTCGAACTTTTTCATTATCGCAACTTACTTTTGTGGACGAGACGGTTCGTCTTTAACTGTTCACTAGATTTCCCTAACATGTATAAATTTCGTTTCTTAAATGACAAAGGAATATTGTATCTCGATAATTCAACTACGACGAAAAGGCCAGCGAATTCTTTTTACGCAAACTTCTTCGTAGATTAAAGTCCTTCTTCTTTCGTCTCGCACGTAACACTGTTCTGCGCTTTCTTAAAGTT